GGCGTGAACCACTGCACCTGGCCACCGTAAGACATGTCCACGCAGAAGTGACTGCACGTTTCCATGGCAACTGCCTGATGCCTCCTTTTTCCTAGAAATTTATGCATAACCCACCCCCTAATTTGCATATACTTAAAAGTGGTGAACTACCTCCAGGCATACTGCCTGTTGGATAGTCCTGCTCCCCAAGGAGCAGTCCCTCTGCTGCTGTTGTACACTGCCACTTCAATAAAAGTTGCTAACACCACTGGTTCACCCTTGAATTCTGTCCTGGGTGAACCCAAGAACCCTCCTGGGTGAAGCCCCAATTTGGGGGCTCGCCTGCCCTGTGTCAGTAACACTTCATAGCATTTGCTACATGCCAGATGCTGTTCTAACTACTTTCACTTCATTATCTCCCAACAGTCCAGGGGGTAGGGATACCAATGTCATCCCCACTTTAGAGATAAGAGGAGAAATAGGGACACTGAGTGGTTAAGTTGCTAGTCTACAATCCAGTCAGTCTGGCTTAAGTCTGTGCTTTACCTCGTTTCACTCAAATTACTTCCTGTTCATGTTCTACCCTGTGGCTCCTTCCTATGTTAACTTCCTGGTTAACCAGGTGAGGCCCTGGTTTCCTAGTCTTGAGACTCCTTGGGCCTGGCTGAGTTGTTGACAGTGATGCACAGTCTTTAACTCACCAGCAAAGATCCATCTATAAAAATGATACGTCTTGTCACTTATGAAAGAGGAAAAAGTGGCTGGGTTCATGCCAGCACTTTGGGAGACCAAGGCGGGTGGATCATTTGAGGTCAGGAGTTTGAGAACAGCCTGGCCAACATGGTGAAACCGCATCTCTACTGAAAATACAAAAATTAGCTGGATGTGGTGGTGCATGCCTGTAGTTCCAGCTAGTTGGGAGACTGAGGCAGGAAAATCGCGTGAATGCAGGAGACAGAGGTTGCAGTGAGCTGAGATTGTGCCACTGCACTCCAGCCTGGGTGACAGAGTGAGACTCCGTCTCAAAAAAAAAAAGGAAAAAGAAAGAGGAAAAACTGTTAAACCAAGAGTGACTGGTGGGCCTGGGGATTACTTGAGAGTCACCAAGACAAGGTGCTCTGTGAAGGAAAGAATAGTCCTAAATTAATGGGTGTGAGGCCGGGGAACACCTTGTATTTGACACCTGCCTCACCCCGAGCAACGTAATCCATATCAACCTAACTGTCACGCTGACATGCTGTGTGCCTGTAGGTATATCATTAACCAACCCTCTCTGGGCTGCAGTGTGGTTTTACTGGGTGGTGTAATTATAGGAGCTCCTTGGATGACAGTAGCCAGCAGTGAGCTCTTTAATTGACAGGGTCAGGCAGCAGTCATTGGCAGGATGGCAGTTATTAGCTGCTCTGTGAAAGCTGCACAAACTAGCACACATTTAGCAAGTATTTGCTGAGCAACCTTGGGCACTGGGGAAGGTCAGTGAGTCACAGTGTCTGTCCTTGAGGAACTCTGAATCTGATAAAGCGGCATCTCCACTGTATCAGTTAGCTTTTGCTGGGTAACAAACCACCCCAGAATGTAATAGCTTAAAATAGAAAACATTGATTTTGTTCATGATTCTGTAGGTGGGGAATTTGGGCTGAGCTCAGCCAGGTGGTTTTTCTGATCTCAGCTGGGCTTATTCATGTGTCTGTGGTCAGCTAGTGGGTCAGCTGGGGGCTGGCTGGTCTAGGGTGTCCTTCACCAAAGTGTCCTTCACTTGTCTGTCTTCCAAGTGGTATCTTACCTTCCAGCAGACCAGCCTGGGCTTGTTCACACAGTTACTGGGCAGAGAGAGAAAAAGAGGACATGCATGAGGCTTCTTGAGGCTTTGGCTCAGAATTGGCACAATGTCACACTTCTGCCACCTTTATTGATTTAAAAAAAAAAAATCACACGGCCAGCTGGTCCTCAGCAGGTGGAGAAATAGATTGCACCTCTTGATGGGAATATTTGATCTGCTAAAATTTTGTTTAAATTTTTTTCACTTGTGCACATGTGGGCTATTGGTCTGTCTTTCCCTTTCTTGTGTAATGTCTTTGTCTGCTTTTGGAATCAAGGCAACGCTGGCTTTACAGAATGAGTTGGGGGTGTCCACTTCTCTTCAATTTCTTGGAACAGTTTGTTTAGAATTGGTATTATTCTGTGTTAAATGTTTGGCAGAATTCATCCATGAAGCCATCTGTGCCTGGAGTTCCCTCTATGAGAAGAAACTCCAGGCCCTGGATAAACCTTTTTTTCTCCTTTTATTGCCAGATTTTAAAGAAAAATCTAGCTTTATGTTTTGACTTGTTATTAGCCCTTTAGCTCCTTGAAATCTGACTCCTTTAGTCATTCATTCAACACATATTCACCGAGCACCATCTATAAGGAAGACGTGTTCTAAGTGCTGGGAATACTGTCCTGCAAAAACCTGCCAGGCGCCTGACACTGTAGCAGGCAGATACGTAATATCCAAGTAAACAACTGCAGGGTAACATCAGGCCCTGAGAGATACTACAGGGAGAAAAATAAAGGGCTTTAGTTCACTTCTTTAAAAGTGTGGTTGCCGAGTCGGCCAATGAGCTAATTCTCCCTCCTTGTCCCATTTTTCTAGTCTTTTCTCTCTTGGCTTCTGGGTCCCACCATGTGCTCTTGGTTGTCCTTCCACCTCTGTGCCCACTCCTCCGTCTCCTTCTCTGGCTTTCTCTCTTCCATCCTTTCTTCTCCCTTAATGCTTTTTCCCTGGGCAGGATTTTTCATCTCCCTGGGCAGGATTACCTGTGGCTTTGTCTGCCATCTGTGTACCCATGACACCAGCATTCCTGTTTCCAGCCCGTTTTCTCCTGAGTGACAGTCCTGACTATATTTCCAACCTCCTGAACACATTTCTACCATGTCACCAATTTCTAAAACCAAATGAACTGTTTCCTTCATTCTTCAAACATGCTCCTTCTGCTCCTCGTCCCACTGCAGATCATGGCAGTAGAATCCTTGCCCCGTTCCCCAGCCCATCATCAAGTCCTGTTGCTTCTGCTTCTGGAAGCTCTCTCTGCTCCCTCCCTTCTGTTCTGCCTGCCCCTCTGTTCCCACCTCATTTGCTACCCTCATCATTTCTCAACAGGGCTGCTGCAACAGCTTCCCCACATTTGCCTCCTGCTACTCCATCCTTCTGACTGTGGAATGGTTTTCTTCTAGAAGTAGATCATGCCTTTCTGCTTACAAAGCTTCCCCAGCCCCCATGGCCTCCAGGATAACATTCGCTCTCTTTTGTGTGGTCTCCAAGACCCTTAAACTTCTTGCTCAGTGGAGAGTCCTGGTCCATCTTGGGGCCCAGCCCAGCACATGCTCTCCTCCCAAGTGTGCCGCTCTGCACCGTGGGGTGCCCCGAACTCCTTGCCTGTGACACCCTCTCCCCACCACTCTGCCCATCGTTAGAGACCCAGCTCAGGTGTCGCTTCTTCCATGAAACTTCTGATGCTGCTCCCACCCCAACACAAGTGTCTCCCATCGCGTGCCATCACGTCATGTCCGTCCATTTATACACCCTTGCCCTTTAGGGACCCAGAAGTCCCAAGGCACACAGAGCATGCCTTACTCATGCCTAGTACATACCAGGTGCTCAATAAATGCTGGGTGAATAACTGCTCCATTTTTAAAGAATAGGCAATGGGGCAGTGATCAGAAGGCTGGGATTAGAGCTCTGGCTCTGCCACCTGCAAAGTGGATGATGTGAACAAACTCCTTAATTTTGATTTCTCACCCACAAAGTGGATCGTAGTCCTTGCCTGTCCTTCTGACAGGACTATCCCCTCACTGACAGGTGTCTGCCCTGCATGCAGTGGTGGGAAGAGCCGTCAGCCTGGAGGACTCGGGGATGACCTGTGTTCTCTGCTTCCCTTGTCCCCAGTGTGCTTTGCAAAGCATGTTCCCAGGATGTGGGACCTGGAGGAACAGCTTAGCAGTGGCCAGTATCTGAAGCTACGTGTGTGGGCCTAGGACTTTGGCTAGATCCCAAAAGGGAAGGGAAATTCAGATTAAACTGGGCTACATAATGGTTTGTCTGGTGCCAGGCTGCTTGGGTTCAGATGCCAGCTCCAGCTTTTACTAGCTGTGTGACATTGGGGAAGTTGTCTAACCTCTCTAGGCCTTATTTTCTTTACCTGTAAAACAAGGCTGCTAGGCACGGCGGCTCATGTCTGTAAGCCCAGCACTTTGGTAGGCCGAGGCAGGCAGATCACATGAGGTCAGGAGTTCAAGACCTGCCTGGCCAACATGGTGATACTCTGTCTCTACTAAAAGCACAAAAATTAACCGGGCATGGTGGCAGGTGCCTGTAATCCCACCTACTCGGGAGGCTGAGGCAGGAGAATTGCTTGAACCTGGATGATGAAGGTTACAGTGAGCTGAGATCGCACCACGGCACTCCAGCCCGGGCAACACAGTGAGACTCTGTCTCAAAAAAATAAAAATAAAGCAAGGCTAATTAAAACACCTTCATCATAGTGTTTTGGTGAATAATGAATAAATTAATCCAGGCAAAAGGGCTTGGAACTGTGCCTGGGACACACTAGGCAACAAATGTTGGCTATCATTATTGTTGCAATTGTGGTTGTTATTATTCTAAGAGATTGGAAGACCCAGGGCTGCACAGACAGAATGATCCTCAGTGACTTCTGCCCTGGGGCACTGCCAAATTCCAGTGTCCCGCCTGTTGCCATTTCCGGAGAGAGCCAAATGCTGACTTTGTGCCCAGAGCTCCAGCCACAGTGTGCATGGAGCTGGGCGGCCCAGGGTAAATGGGCTTCCTCCTTCCCCATAACATCTCAGACGCCTGAATATTCCTGGCTGGCTGGTGTCCAGATACTAGGGCAGAAGGCTGGGCTGACCTCTGCCTTCCTGAAAACAGAGGCCAAAGCCACCGTCCCCTTGGAGTGCTCTGGGCAGTGGGAGGGGCCTGGGTTCTGGCCAGCCTGGGGTTGAACCACCAGCCCGGGAGCAGGCCTGGGAGTCACTGCAGGGTGGCCTGGGTGACTGCTCACCAGCCTGGCCCTCCCCAGGGTTCTGGGCCAGAGCCTTCCTGGCCGTTGGAGCAGGAGCTGTGGGTGGAACACTTTTGAGTTGGGAGATTGCCTCGGACCTCCAGACGCCAAACATCTCAGGTCTGTATGGAAAGGTTCCACACCTCCGGATTGTCCTCTTGCCTACAGTTCCGGGAAAAGGCTCCAACTCAGGCTGGGAATTGGCTGTGGTTTAAATAGTAGGAAGAACTCCCGAGGGTGGGAATGGAGTTGGGCGGACGGAGTGGTCATCTTAACAGCACGTTCTCCCTCCACGGGAAGCCAGCTGGGCTCTCTGACTCTTGTTCCCTGGCACGTAAGGGAGCATGTGCCAAAGTGACTTCCTTTGGCAACAGCAGGCAGGGGCTGGGGCTCACGGGTGGAGATTCGTGTTGTTATGAAGAAGAGGACAGAAGTGGACCCTTACCCTGTCCGTGGGCAGATCCCACAGACTTTTATTTATCCACGAGACCCTCATAGTGACTTTTCACGAGCAAAAGCAAACCAAATGTTGCTTCTGGAAGAGGAAGGGCCAGTGAGCCTCCAGAAGGTTGTTTGTGTTTCTCCACACCCGGAGCTAGACGTGCGACACACACACACACTTTAAGCAAACACTGGACTAAGGCACAGCAGGACGGCACCTCTACTTAGGAAACAGTGAGGATAATTCTCTTTGTTATCTGGGGTCAGGATGGACATTTCTGGGAGCACTATCCTTCTTCCTGTCAAACTATAGAACTTGAAACTCCAGCTGGGCACCGTGGCTCATGCCTGTGATCCCAGCACTTTGGGAGGCCAAGGTGGGAGGATGGCTTGAGGCCAGGAGTTTGAGACCAGCCTGGGCAACACAGCAAGACTCCATTTCTACAAAAAAATAAAATTAGGCGGGCATGGTGTTGCACAGCTGTAGTCCCAGCTACTGGGGAGGCTAAGGCAGGGGGATCGCTTGAGCCCAAGAGTTTGAGGTTGCCTTGAGCAATGTTTGAGCCACTGTACTCCAGCCTGGGCGAGAGAGAGAGAGATCCTGTTTAAAAAAAAAAAAAAACTTGAAACTCACTGAGCCACAAATGTTCCACTTTGTGTGCAGAATTTCCATAACACCACCCACACTTCCCAGTGTCTTACCCCTTTCTCCTCCCTCTTGTTCCTCCTCCACAACCCTACTCTCTCCAGTTCTGATGCCCGGAGGATGCTTGTTGCAGCTTGAAAAACCCATTTGCTCTTCTTCTACCCTGGTTATGGGTTCCTTTTGCTTTAAAAAGAAATTTAAATCTGAAGTTGTACTTTCCTGTGTTCTGTATTATTTTATGTGATTCTTTTTATGTGTATTTTTATGGGTATTTATGGAGAGTATTCAGGTCTTGAATGTGAAGACAGCTTACCATGGTACCTACAATGCATCAAATCAAGGTTGGGGCATCCAGGCCATTTAGTGTCCTCAGTGAGATCCACCTCACCGAGTTTCTGGATACTCAGAAAAAGTGATTCATTTAGAAATTAATTTCGAAAACAGAATTGAACCCATTGTGCCACATGTGCTTAGTTCCTTTTAGATATCAAGGAAAAATTTTATCCATGATCCAAACCAGTCTCAAAGTTAGATCAATAAAGACAGCAAGCGCTTCAGCTTGGCCAGTGAGCTAACAGGATGAAAAATACAGCCAACCCTATGCAACCTAAAGCATGGTTTTTGTTTGTTTGTTTGCTTTCTGGGGTTTTTTTTGAGATGGAGTCTCAGTCTGTCACTCAGGCAGGAGTGCAGCAATGGGATCTCGGCTCAATGCAACTTCCACCTCCCGGGTTCAGGCCATTTTCATGCCTCAGCCTCACGAGTAGCTGGGATGATAGGCACCTGCCACCACGCTTGGATAATATTTGTATTTTTAGTAGAGACAGGGTTTCGCCATGTTGGCCAGGCTGGTCTCGAACTCCTGGCCTCAAGCGATCCACCTGTCTTGGCCTCCCAAAGTGCTGGGATTATAGGCATGAGCCACTGCACCCAGCCTAAAGCATGGTTCTTATTCAGGCCCTCTCTTAATTAGCCCAGTCATCCCTCAACCTTAGCGAACGGGCCAGTGCAGAGAGAGGCTACCTTGACAGATTCCTCCTGTCTGGTACAAAGCTCAGTGGACACAGAGATGATTTGACACTGCCTTGCGCCCTCTCTCCTGATCTTAGTTAGGCTGCTGCGTGGTTTTCACCAGGCCCTAAGCATGTGAGTAGGAAAGACAGTCGTAGAAAAATGCCCTGTATTTGGAACTGGAAAACTAGTGAGTTCCAGTCCTGTGAATTTTGGCAAATCACCCAGAGCCATTAGGAGCCTTGGTTTCTCACCTGTAAAATGGGGATAATGATACCTTGTTCTGCCAGCATCATAAGGTTGACATGAAAACCCCATGCAGGATGTATTGTGTAAGCTGAACCTTACGTTTAATCATGAAGAGTCTCGTTTTCATGTGGCATGACCCCTATGGGCATCCCCTCCCCAGGGATCTGCCTTATCACCTACTCATCTTGGGGTTATGTTGAACCCCTGTGTCCTGCCTACAGTTAGAAGCGAATTTGCTGTCTTCCCTGAAAAGTGCCACACGTGGATTGCTTGTCCTACTTGTCCTGTGACTGCAGCAGTTGCTGAGGCTGCACCTGGCAGGCAGCAGGGAAAGGCAGAGTCAGGAGAGAGACTGGCTGGAGAATGTGCACTGCAAAGAATCAGG